GGACGGAAGTGCTAAAAAAACGTGTTTCAATCGTCTCAATGGAGTTCCAATGAGATCGCTCTGTCCATTTCTTTTACTGTCTATGCACGAACCCTGCTGACGTGTGTCCGAAAGAATCTCAGTCAACTTCTTTACTTCCGCAAGAGCGTTCTGCAGGTCAAGTATATAGCGGCAAAACTTTAATAAAATCAGTTTTCTCAGAAACGGAGACAACGATTTTAGAAACGCTGATTCGCTGACTCCAGTGCAGACACATAAAGTGAGCAGCATAAATCCAACCGAACCATGTAAGTGCAGAGATCGCGAGAAGCGAATGTCAACCACAGACAGTAAAAGAAATAGACACAGTGACCCCATAGATTTCAACAGAGAAAAGTGAAGCCCATTAGATGCACTCACTTCCTGATGGCTGAGCGTACCGTGTCTGCTACAATGGCGGCCCCCAGAAAGGCTTCAGTTTCCAGCTGATGGATTTCCCCCTTGATGTCAATCAGAGAACAGCAGCGCTCGCAGGTAAGGGGGCGGGGCCTCACCTGGCATTGGCTGCATGCTTCTGTCTGTCTAGCCAGGATGCCCTTCCCATAGGTGGATCTCGAACACCTGATGATGAAAGAGAAACCCACATAAAGTGCACATATTTTATATCATATTTTAGATCAGAGAATAGAGAATATAAAGCCGCAATGGTGATTTGCGCCATGTCATCTCACATAGCATTTATCCTCGTCACCAATTTATGTTATATATTCATGAGGCAAAACCTAAATGCTTTCAGACATGTCTTTTACTGGTGTTTAGATCATCGCACACAGATTACATCACAACCCGCACATGCAAATCACATCATGTGACTTAAATACCCTCTCCCAGGCATAGGAACCAATGAATGCACATCATGCATACACATTATCTCAATACACCCCATTTTATCACCGTAGTAAGGTAACGTTAGTACAGCGGGTTCAATAATATAACGTTTTACAGTGTTTTTCGATTGCGAAACGACAGTGAGCACAACTGGAGCTACATGTGCAAAACTCAAACTCCAGTCTGCACAGCAGCACTTCATGTGGACCAAACTCTAGTTCGTTTTTCATTGCTTGAACACAGTTTTGAAAACTCTACACACTTATCCCACAACCTGCACAACACTGTGGATTTACAGCACTTTGTTCAAATGCTAACACACTGCTGTCAAAACTGTGAACCACACATTCAAAACAGAATAAGTTTCAGCCTTGTGCCTTTCACACACTGCTGATTTTCAAACAATTTCAGCTGAAAGGATAAAAACTTGTGGCCTGATGCTTGAGAGAGGCAGGGTTACAGTATTACAGAATGTGCTTTTAGTTTCTACCTTTTTCTCATTACTGTAATTCTGTAAATTACTAGACTATTGAAGCAAACTGCTAATTTTCAATTGTTATGTTCTGCACAACGCTGTGGATTTACAGCAATGAAAAACGAACTAGAGTTTGGTCCACATGAACTGCTGCTGTGCAGACTGGAGTTAGAGTTTTGCACATGTACTGTAGCTCCAGTTGTGCTCACTGTTGTGAAATAAAAACTGTAATTACTTTATGCTAGCGAGCTAACTGGGATAGCTAGGATTCATTTCCAATCGATTTCACTTTCCGGACATGATTAAAACGGACTAAAGGGAACTTAGATTTTTTTAACAATACTTTTTTTATTTTTTTATTTTTTACAACACACAATACTTCATGTTATAAGTAATATATAAAAAGACGACATGACTTACTTGTCGTAATCAAGCTGCAGAAGCTTGTGTTGACTGTCACTGTTCATTGCTGAATGTGGAAACCATTTAACCCAACAGCCGGGTTATTTACATTTTGTTAACTGTTGTAATTGCTTCCATTGTTTTACTTTTAGAGTGAAATAATAATAATAAAAGAAATACAGTCAATTGATTAAAAAAACTAACTTGATCAATCACATTTTTTTTCTGATTATTCACGCAAATAAAAACAATTTTAATATATATTTTGTTATGTTGTAGAAACAACATAAAGACATAAAGACATATTTTAAATTCTTCTTTAATGGCATCTTTTTATGAATAAAGGCCATTACTGATACTCCTGTCTTGATAAAATGATTCCCCATTTTAAATATTAGACCTTCGACTTAAAGCGGTGGAGGCCCCTGGGCTTGAGTCATTTCCAGCCCTACTTTCTATATAAACAACATGATATATACACGAGCTGTGTAGCTAACATTACACGAAAAAGAAATCACGATTCTGAAAAAACTAAACAAAATAACAATTAATTAGAGGTTCTGACAAAATGTCAATTTCTGCAGTCTATTTAAAATGTTTAATTATTTAAATGAACAAAACACTTAGTATGAATGAATTAATCAATGACTCACTCAAATACTTGACTTGTTTTATTAGTGGATGAATCAGCATTTTTGAACAAATCTCCTGAATGAATGATTCCAAAGACAAATATTTTTAGTCACTTGTCGCCATCTGGTGGCGTAAAAATGTCATCGATCCAAACATTTTCACAGTGTGAAAAAACCCCGGAATCATTTATTTATTTATTTATTTATTTTTATTAAACTTTTACAAAAGCTTATAATGACTTCCCCCCCATAAATAAATACTGATTAAAAATATAATTTCATTCAATTGTAGGCTTAATTAGATAGCATTTTATAGTGCAATATTATAGCCTACAGGACGTGCTCTCAGTAAAGATATCAAAATAACACATTAAACAAGATAAAGAATGTGTGTGTAATAGTGAGTGGATGGGTGTTTTAGTGACATTTGAAAAAGATCAAGACTATATGCACACAAATGAACACTTTACAGTAAATGAAAAATACTACACTATCACAGCTTATAAACAAGCATGACGTCATCCAATCTTATAAAAATAAAAATAAAAAATAAATCTCCCTTGCGCCACGCATTTTCCAATTATTTTTAATAATAAAACTGTTCAGAAAGAATAAATCTCATATGAAAACGCCCAAACTGAATTTGTAACTTCAATAAATGTGTTCAGATCGGTGTGTTCATGTGCGCGTGCATGCGTGATTTGAATTTCGGTTGCTATAGCGACGCTGCGCGTGTTTTGAATTCTGAATGCATATTTACACTTGAACCGATCGATCGCTGTTTGTTGATTGAGAGAGACGAGGCGAATTCACAGACTTTTGCTGAGCGAATCTTGCGATTTTGAAGCTGATTTCTGAGAAAAGACTTTTATTCTGCAGAATATATCCTTTATATATTTATATTTTTAAAAGTTATATAATTTCTGAGAATACTTTTTATAGTTTTTTTATTTTAGAAAAAAATCTTTCTTTCTTTTCTTTCTTTCTTTCTTTTTTCCTTTCTTATTTTTTATTTTTATTTTATTTTCTTTATTTTTTTTTTCATTTAAGGTGATTTGTATTGTACTGCATTTTGTGCTGTATTTTTTGTTGTTGTATTGCAGGTTGGAGGAGGATGTCGACGGCTCACTTGACGGGTGAAAGAAGAGGTGGTGAGTGCTTTAGTTTTTCATTCTTGGTTTTTGGTATGATTTTGTTCAATAACTGACTACATTAATGTGAAGAACCCATTTGAAGAACCCCCCCCCACCCCCCCCCCCCATCAAATCACATGTATTTTAATTCACATTTAATGAGTAACTGAAACAACAATTAGTAATTGACCACTGACTGACATTGATTATTGATTATTATTATTAAAACATTACTACTGACTACAGTATGTGATGTGCAGTGTTGGGTGTAACTAATTACTCAGTGATTAATTACTGTAATGTAATTACTTTTCCCTTGAAAATGTAAAGTAAGGGATTACTCTTCATTTATCTGTAATTTAATTACAGTTACTTCTGATGTTATTTAGGTAAATACTGTGTAAAGATCAATCCGATCTCACAGCGATTCGTATGATTTTATGACGTGTCTAAATTGTACGACCGCACTGTACAAATTCGTATGAATTATTGTAAAATATGTATGAAAAAGTGTGAAATGTCATGAGATCAGACATAAACCAATAGTGGGTTTAACATCAAAATGTATTGTCTGATGTTAAAAAGTATGTTTTTATAATGTAACCTTCTCCACCTTGGTCAGATTAAGGATAATTCATGCAATTTTATAGTATTTATTTGAAAGAATTAAAACAGATTCATGTCTATCCTTTTATTATCCAGCTGGTTGAGATTGATATGGTATTTTGAAAGTAATTAGTAATTAAATACTTTTTAAAGAGAGTAATTAGTACAGTAATCTAATTACACTGTTGAAGAGGTAATTAGTAATTAGTAATTAATTACTTTTTTAGAGTAACTTACCCAACACTGGTGATGTGTGAAATATCCCAGCCTCAGGCTGCTCCAGATCCAGGAGAGCTGCTCTCTGTCAGACGGCGGGTCAGGAGGTTTGGAGATCCGGTTTTGATGACCGTGATCAGGATCCGCTGCCAGACCCGACCGAGACACAGAGCCAGGGTCTTCCTGGATATTTAACTCCTCTGTCTTCTGACTCTGTTTCTGTGTCCACAGGTCAGGCTGACAGGAGGAGGACGAGGAAGAGCAGCAGCCAGAAGAGCCCAGACGATGGACGTACACTCACTTCTTCTTGCAGAGGTGAGAATAGGCTTTAATAAAGAAGTTACGGCTCAGTTTCTAGTTCTACTTTCAATGACTGATTTGTCATTGAAATAAGTTGAACCAACTAAAGTAACAATTTGGTGTGACCACTGACATTGATTATTCATATTATACAGCCTATATATATATATATATAAAAAAGAAAGAGTTTTTGATGTGAGAAATTTGCTTCAACTGATTGTTCTCTGGGCATCAGCTTTGTCCCTCTCTGAGGTCAATGTGGAGGGCTGGTTCTGTAGGGAGTCGTTGAGTCTGAGCCGCAGAGGCTCGTACAGCGTGGTATGGAGGAGGAGTGGCGATGGATCAGAGAGCTCAAACCAACAGGACAGTTGCAGCGACTCCTGTTTGTCCAGGTCCCACAGCCTGGAAGGGTGGCTGTGCCCTCCACTGCCCGGGCAAGTTCCTGTCGAGCCACCAGAACAGACTTCAAATGGCCGAACTGCTCAGGGTGCCATGGAGGCTTCTCCTGCGAACAAGAGCTCAAAAGGTGAGGCTGAAACAAGAGTCAAGTCTACTGAGAGACATTTTGCTATTTCATGTTAATGTCCGGTCACATTTACGGTTGCTCAGCAAAATTTCTCTGAATTAAAAAAAACAATACAAATGATTAATATTTTAATTGGACATTCGTCTAACATTTTCAGAACATTCAAAAGTAACATTCCCATAAAATAGAGTTCTTTTAACAAAGAAAACAATATTTTTAACCGGTTTACATTTTTTTGAAATAACATTTTCATAATTTAATAGTAGCGTGGCAATATTTCTTAGATCTGTTGCATTACAGTGAAATATAAATGATGTCATTATTGCTCAATTTGACGTCAGAGATCATGTTTCTAATAGTTGTTTCTTCTTCATTTCAGGATCTAGGAAGAAAGGAACGGGTCGTTTCCTCTACAGGCTCTGGAAGGCTGTGAAGCGTGTTTTCTGCTGCTGTTGCCACTGTAGTGCAGTGACTGTTGTGGAGCCTTTTGTTCCTCCAGCAGATCTGGAGCCAGAGCCTGATCCTGATCCATCATCTCCTGCTCCTGATCACTCCGGCATCAAGGCAAACAATGGTATATCGCCACTCATTATCCTCATTAACAAATTCCACTACAAATAAGGCTTGTTTTCAGAGAACATTCATATTATTTTCCCCTTTATAATATAATTATCTAGCAAACTAATATGTTTCTGTTTGTTTTTTTCAGAGTCCTTTGAGTCTCTCTATGCCGTTATAAAGTTGATTGGATCTGGAGGATTTGGCAGGGTGTACCAGGGAGAACGCAGATTTGATAACAAAAAGGTCAAATTTACAGAAGTGTACACACATTTTGCTCTTGCATGCATCAAACCATATTTAAAACAATTCACAGATGGTTTAATACTTAGTGCTTGAAAACTGTTATTGAAACTGGTTGTTGTTTTTGCAGGTTGCCATCAAGCGGATCCGCAAGAGTGACAACAATCGTTATCTTACTATTGTAAGTTGGCCAAAAACTGAATATGTGTTGAGTTGTTTAAGTGCAGATTACTATTAGATAAGATTAAGTACATTTAATCATGAAGCGTGTTCTTCAGATTTTTACCCTGCTTACCTTCTGTCTGCTACTTTTCTCCAGCCTGGGCATCCCAAACCTCTGGTTACAGAAGTGGCGCTGATGATGATGATGAGGCGAGAACCCATAAGCCCCTTCATCATTCAACTATACGAGTGGTTTGAACATCCGACAGCGTTCACTCTGGTTATGGAGTATCCTGAAGCCTGGGAGAGCTTGCTGGACTTCATTCGTAATCATCTAATCTATGAACCAACGGCACGGTTCTTAATGCGACAGGCTGTGCAGGCAGTGCAACACTGCATCCGTCAGGGGGTTTTTCACCACGACATCCATCCGCAGAATTTCCTGTTGCAGAGACGTCCGGCCCAGCTCAAGCTGATAGACTTTGGCTGCGGTCAGCTGTTTAGTAGAGACGGCTACGAGAGCAACATCTACATTGGTGAGCATTCTGGAAGTGTGGAAACCTGAATGCAGTGATTTACTAATTATTTGATGTTTAAAAAAAAGCTCAACAATGTGCAAATGTCTTGCTTACAGGAGCGCCGGATTACTGCCCACCTGAAGTCTTGACAGAACCTCGATTCCACGCCGTCCCAGCAAATGTCTGGTCTCTAGGGGTGTTGCTGTTCATGATGATGAACCAACGTACTCCTTTTCGCAACAGAAGCAAAATCACAGAAGCCAACGTTACATTTCTGAACCCCACCTTATCCAAAAGTGAGTGAATAATATTCATACATTGATAAACACACACATGAAGCAAAGGCTTTGTACAGAAACAGTTAAAGGTGAAGTATGTAAGATTTTTTATACATAGCTCAACGTATAGTAGAGTTTGGGGCGTCGCTACTGTAGCAGGCGGAGACATGGGAAAAGAAATGCAGCTTTAGTTACAGAAGTGAAAGCCAAAATTCACTGCATTTATACCTTCAAAGATTAAACAGGTCATGAACACGTCAAAGTGAACAGAGCATTGTGATGCTACGCGCTACAAAGCACGCTTCAATACCATACAGCATCATCATGCACCCGTTCAGAAAGACACATTTTCATAAAGACAAATGCAACACAGCTGAAAGTATTTCTAATATGTCGGAGCTGAAACATGAACCAGTAAGAGCCGCGTTCGAGATGTTTAAGTCGGGGAAGACGCGATGCGCGGAAGGGGCCTTTGCTAGGTTTATTGAAAATATGCTTTATTTTGTCATTTTTTCCACTCGCTGCCACTAGTGTCGCAGAAACGACATACTTCACTTTTAAAGTAAAGATAAGTCACATTTTGCAGCATATTAATCATGTTTTAGATGCTATTTTCATAGATCTCAGGTCACATGGTCATGACTAACCAGCTCTCTCCTTATTCAAATGTGTACAGATTGCAGGGATCTGATTAGCCAGTGTCTAGCCCGGGATCCAACTAAACGCCCGACGTTAGAGCAGATGTTACAACATAAATGGTTTAGTAAAGATCTGCAGTAGATTGGAGAAGTTCAGGAGATTCACTCGATCAGTTTCAGGTGTGAGGAAGTGTAACAGAGAGTAGGATTATTACTTTTTGTCTTCAATTTTGCATTATTTGTACTGAGATTTTCAAACTTGTGTTCATTGTAATATTCTTGTTGTAGTCAAGTCACCTTCATTTACACAGATTGTTTCAAAGCGGCTTCACAGTAATAAACAGGAAAATAACAGAATCAGTGATGCAAACCATTAAATTCTGTTCTAACTCAGCTCTAAAATATCATTCAGTTGATTTATTCATATAATTTTTGTATTGGATAGGAAATAACAAACTTGCTGAGAGCTCGAGACTCGACCCGAAGCCTGAAGTCCAACTCCATCCTGAGCAACGTCTGAGCAAGAACACGAGAGACTGCAAGACTGGAAAGAAATCATCAAGTCATCACACACACACATTTGCTTTTTTAAAGTCAAGACAAGTCATCGTCTACAAACATTTGTTTCTTCGGATCCTTAAAAAGCCTTAAATTAGATTTTTAAAATTTAAGGCCATTAAAAGTCTTATTTTTACTTATGAAAGGTCTTAAATTTTAGACGACACTTCTACTTAGTCATATCTAAAAGTTTTCCAAATTAAAACCATCAAATTTGTGAACGAATTATTAATTTAGGTATAATTCTGATTTTGATATTATGATATTCTAATAGTTTTAACGATGTATGAGGTAGTGAGAACTGACATCGCAGTCGTCTCTCGTGCTTTCACTGCGACTGCGTGATGTGTGCAGTTATAGGTTTGTCCCCAAACTAGTTGTTGTCTTATATTTATATCATATTATGTTCTTATATTAGAATATCACATCAGTAAGAGTGCCATTTCCCCGTGATATTTATGTTATACAATAGTTAAATCAAAAATAAATTGACATTGTGAGTTAGTTTTTAGACATAACATTATCAATATTGTTTGTTTTGCCTTTATTTCACCGAATAGAATCTCAAAATGAAACCGTAACGTTAGCGGAGCGATTTCTTGACTGAAATCCGCGATTTGAACGAGTCATTGTAACGATTCAGTGAACAATCACTTGCTTCTTTCCCGAATGAATCAGCCGTTTGAACAAATCGGTTGAATGAATGACTCCCTCAACTCGCTTATAACTTGCCGCCGCCTACTGGCGGTTCTCTTACGAGAGGTTCTCTCGTATTGCGTACGCTAGCTTACGCTACGGGAAAGATTCATCTTTTCTGAGAAGTTGAAGCCAAAAAATTATCCTTTAATTTTGTATCCATTGTCAACGCAGTTTCAGCGGGGCATTACCATGGGGACTTTTTCTCGCCAAAAAGTCATCTCGTCAGACGCACCCAACATGGTCTGCGAGGGCTCACCGGCCTTTGGCCCCTGGTCAGCTCAAGAGAGCTCCCTCCACACAAACTGTCTGGAGATGTTAGCGGTCAAGAACGCGCTCGCGTGTTTTCCTCCCATGCATTCAGGGTCACCACGTATTGATCAGAGCGTATCGCTCAGACAATATATTCATGGTCTCCTACCTAAACCGTCAGGGCGGAGTCAGATCCAGGAATCTCTTCCTGCTGACACAACGCATTTTAGTTTAATCCCAGAGTCACCTGCTCTCGCTAAGAGCTACGCATGTGCCGGGCCATCTGAACGAAGGCCCAGACAGACTGTCCAGGAACCTCTTCCTCCCGGGGGAATGGTCCCTGCACGCTCAAACAGTCCAGAAGCTGTGGCGAATATTCGGCAGAGCAGAGGTAGATCTCTTCGCGTCGGAAGAGAACGCTCACTGCCCAATATTTTTCTCAAAGAGCGAGAACGCGCTAGCCCAGGACTGGCCCAGCCGCCCGCTTTATGCTTTCCCTCCGGTCAATCATCCGCTTCCTCAGGGGAGCTAGAAGGATGAACCCTCCGCACCCCCCTTCGGTTCCGATCTGGGATCTTTCTATAGTTCTCGAAGCTATAAAAACCCCCCCTTTCGAACCTAAAATACCTCTCGCTCAAAACCGTCTTTCTGATTGCCCTGTCATCAGTAAAACGTGTGGGAGACCTTCACGCGCTCTCTGCTAGCGCTGCGTGTCTTGAGTTTGGACCTAATGACTCTATAGTCGTTCTTAAAAATAGACATGGCTATGTCCACAAAGCGATTGGTACCCCGTTCAAAGCTCAGGTTATTTCCCCATCCGATAGCGATTGTGACGCCAATCTCTTCTGCCCGGTTCGGGCTCTGAGTTTGTACACTACACGCGCTGCCCCGTTCAGACGCTCTGAGGAGCTTTTCGTTTCGTTTGGTGGGCGCACTAAGGGTCTAGCCGCCTCGAAACAGACACTGTCCAGATGGATAGTTGATGCTATTTCAACCGCATTTGCGTCTAAAGACCTGCCATCCCCTCTGGGCATCAGGGCTCATTCCACTAGAGGCATGGCCTCATCGCGGGTATGGTCCAGCGGTATTTCCATTCAGGACATATGTGTGGCTGTTGGATGGGCTTCCCCTCCACCTTTGTCAGATTTTACAATCCGGAAGTACCCGCTCTGCAGGCTAAACTAGCAAAAGTCTAGCATACTTCAGCTCTCCTGGTTGAGCCGCACTGTTGGGAGACTCATACACACAGACCGGCCTTGCCGTTTTGTTCTTCCCTATACGTGCTTATGTACTACACAATCTACGACCCGCTCTGCTGGCCTTTTTTATCACAAGTACATACATATATTCCCCACTCATAAGAGTCCCTCCGGGGTCCCAACCCCCAAATTTTTGGGTTCAACTTCTTTTCTGAATCTTTCCCGTAGCGTAAGCTAGCTTGCACAATACTCGTTCGGTTCCCTCATCTAGAGAGAACCGAGGTTACGTTAGGTAACCAATTCGTTTTAGTTTATATTTAAAATGTTAAAGTTAGAAATATTTCATATTTAAATATTGAATATTGATTTAAAAAAACCTTATAGCTTTATTTATGCAATTGTAAATGGAGTGTAAATATTAATGCCACTTCTGATGCTGCTTCTGTGTCACCTCTGCACTGCAAAGATGGATTTTGATTGATTGATTTAATTTGACTGTTAACAGTGGTACTGTATAATTTTTGTGTAATTAAGTATTTTTGTATAAATAAGTATAATTACTGTAAAAGTTCATTTGAATGTTAGTATTTTGACACAAAATGTGATGCATAATTCTAAATAAGGATAATATGGATAAAAACATGTCCATATATATAGGTGGAAATGCCTCTGGAAATCAATTTAAGGTGGCAAATATTGCACATTATTTAATAATTTCTGTCACTGCTGTGAAACGACCACTGCATAGAATATGAAAAATATAAATATCTTTGCGAGTCTGCTGTCAACAACAGGCCTAAACCAGCCATGGCACCAGCACAAAAACACAATAAGTAAAATATAATCTAATTATTATCAACAAAATGTTGAAAACATCAAGATATTTTTGTCAATATTGCACACCCCTAATGTATGGTATTAATTTTGATTTCTTCAGGTCTTAAAAAGCCTTAAATTTGACTTTTGAAAGTGTGCAGGAACCCTGTGTCAGGAGCTCAGTGAATTCAAGCGTGGTACTGTGATAGGTTGCCAACTATTCATGAAATTACCTTACTACTAAATACTCCACAGTCAACTGTTAGTCAATAGCTACAGATCTCCAAACTTAAGAAAAATGTTAATATTTGAACGCATTTTTGTATTGTTTAATTTTTTTTGTTGTTGTTTTGTTTTTTTGTATTTTGTTTAATGTGTTTATATTTTGTCCACTGCATGTTTTCTTTTATGCTTCCTTTTTATATGCTCAATGTTTTATTGTACATCACACTGGTGCATCTCTGTTGCTTTTAAATGTGCTATAGAAATACATTTTGACTTGACTTTAATTTGTGTCATTGATTCATTTTAAGTGCTCATGAACAGAGAGAGTTGAAAGGCACTGTAAAAAGCCAACAAGTTTTTAAAGCCCATTCACACCAAAAACAATAACTATAATTGTAACAATTGTTACGTCCCTGAAGTAAAGTTGTATAGGTGTAAGTGGTAAACAGTGAAAAGGAAAAGAAAATAAACCCGTCCCCAGCCCTGTATGACAGACACATCAAATTATAGTACAAAAATATATTAACAGGATGGTACGGAGCCCCTCTAGTCCCACTTTGGTAAAAAAAAATTATTATAACTATCTTGTGGCCTCAAGATAGTAACTCGTGGCCACAAGATACTAACTCGTGGCCTCAAGATACTAACTCGTGGCCTCGAGATACTAACTCGTGGCCTCAAGATACTAACTCGTGGCCTCAAGATAGTAACTCGTGGCCACAAGATACTAACTCGTGGCCTCAAGATACTAACTCGTGGCCACAAGATACTAACTCGTGGCCTCAAGATACTAACTCGTGGCCTCAAGATAGTAACTCGTGGCCACAAGATACTAACTCGTGGCCACAAGATACTAACTCGTGGCCTCAAGATACTAACTCGTGGCCACAAGATAGTAACTCGTGGCCTCAAGATACTAACTCGTGGCCTCAAGATAGTAACTCGTGGCCACAAGATACTAACTCGTGGCCACAAGATACTAACTCGTGGCCTCAAGATACTAACTCGTGGCCACAAGATACTAACTCGTGGCCTCAAGATACTAACTCGTGGCCACAAGATAGTAACTCGTGGCCACAAGATAGTAACTCGTGGCCACAAGATAGTAACTCGTGGCCACAAGATAGTAACTCGTTGCCACAAGATAGTAACTCGTGGCCACAAGATAGTAACTCGTGGCCACAAGATAGTAACTCGTGGCCTCAAGATAGTAACTCGTGGCCACAAGATAGTAACTCGTAGCCTCAAGATAGTAACTCGTGGCCTCAAGATAGTAACTCGTGGCCTCAAGATAGTAACTCGTGGCCACAAGATACTAACTCGTGGCCACAAGATAGAGTTACTATCTTGAGGCCACGAGTTACTATCTTGAGGCCACGAGTTACTATCTTGTGGCCACAAGTTACTATCTTGAGGCCACGAGTTACTATCTTGTGGCCACGAGTTAGTATCTTGTGGCCACGAGTTACTATCTTGTGGCCACGAGTTACTATCTTGTGGCCACGAGTTACTATCTTGAGGCCACGAGTTAGTATCTTGTGGCCACGAGTTAGTATCTTGTGGCCACGAGTTACTATCTTGTGGCCACGAGTTACTATCTTGTGGCCACGAGTTAGTATCTTGAGGCCACGAGTTAGTATCTTGAGGCCACGAGTTACTATCTTGAGGCCACGAGTTAGTATCTTGAGGCCACGAGTTAGTATCTTGTGGCCACGAGTTACTATCTTGAGGCCACGAGTTAGTATCTTGTGGCCACGAGTTAGTATCTTGTGGCCACGAGTTACTATCTTGAGGCCACGAGTTAGTATCTTGAGGCCACGAGTTACTATCTTGAGGCCACGAGTTACTATCTTGAGGCCACAAGATAGTTATAATTAATTTTTTTTACCAAAGTGGGACTAGAGGGGCTCCGTAGGATGGGTATAATTATTAAACAAAACGTAATCACTTAAATTACCTCAGGAGGGGGTTAAATGCCAAAATAACAAACACAAGTACCCTCTGACTAGTTGGGGAGTAAAACTTCTTAATCTGCCAAATATAAACAAATGAACAACAGAAAGATACACTAACTCCCTAACTAGCCAAAAAACAGGAGTAAAAAGTGATACAAAAATGAAAATAGGCACCCACCTCCTTACAGCTCCCCCACACAATTTGAATGTTCTCTGAAACTTCTTTTGAGCAGGTAGCGTCTCCAGTACAACAAGCGCCAGGTGTGATCAATCACCTCTCTCTCCTCCCCACTTGGTAGAGCTGCAGAATTACAGAGAGAGAGAGAGAGGAGGGAAAAAAAAACCAAAACAAAAACACTGCCAAAACAACCACGGAACGTATCACAATATTAGCGTCCACACGAATGACCGATGATAACACTGTTCATTCTAAGCATGTAATTTTGTCGTCGGACACTTAAAATGCTGGAGCTCTGTCAAGTGGAATGGATTCTGATTGGCTGTCAATGTTTTTATTGTTCATGTGCTGGAATAAAATCTGAAAGTTATTCCAAGATATTGTTTCCAAGTCGTTATAGTTGTGGTGAGGACTCTGCTCTTCTTTTAAAATATCTTTTAAAAAGAAATCATTCTAAATATAAATATTTAGAATGATTTCTTTTTAAAAGATATCTTATCATTATAGTTATCATACTGGGAACAGGCTTTTAGCCCGGTAAAGAGAAAGGTATTTAGGGTTGCAATTTGTCAGAATACCGATATTTCTAAACAGAGAGTTCCCCCTCACTACACATGTCACAAGTTCAAAAGAGAGGATTCTCCACCCAAAATACTCATACTGATAATGTCATTTGTGTTGACAAACAAAAAGTATCAATCCATATAGCTGCAAGAAGTAATTTTTGGGGCATAGTAAGTCAGAACCAAAGTGTCTGGCTAAGCAAGGCAGGGAGCTTGCTGACAAATGGGTAAAACCATAGACTGTAAAAAAAGATGGAAATAAAAAAAGTCCTAGTATAGCACTGATATTTGGGACCTGCTTCTGCGCAGGGACAGTGAGTCGCGTGGGTATAACGCAATCGTTAGCCTACTTTTACAAAAAACTGCTTCTACGGTGCCATAACATAAGCTACAAGGTAATGGAGCATTTCATACATTGTCGTGTTTCTTTAGAAATAAATAAAGGACAAATGGGGTCTTCAAACGCCTCAGATGTAAAGTTATTCGCTGTCAAAGTGACGCCAAAATGAATGGAAGTCAATGGGAATGCTAACGCAAGTGAAGTTCTAAGATGGCAGCTCTCGCGATGCTTCAACTTCCGGTCGATGGATTATTTTTTTTTTCCCGGTCGATGGATTACCCTCTTGTTAGAACCCAAAGGTGGCGTCTAGTGTATATATGTATGAGTTATGATGTAGGCTAGATTAGCAGGAGTGGAAAAGTGCATTTTTGGTTTGACAAGTGCCAATATACCCAAACAGTTTTGTGCCAGACTAGAGTTGGAAGGGGCCTCACTCTTCAGTATTAAAATGTACATTGAAGAACTAGAGATGTACAGAGGCAATACTAATTTTGAATGCCAATTCATTCGGTAATTTTTAGTTTTAACTATGTTTTAACATTTTATGCTTTTCAGAAATATGAAAGTTTCCAACCCATTATCAACATGCAACCCAAGCACAACCCCTGGAAATAAAGTAGAAATTAAGGTGGTTGAGTGAAAGCATCATAGTTTGTTTAATTCATGCTTAGAGAAAGGCACTGAGGCCATGGCAAGAAGATAACATATCCAGCATCCAGTTGACCACATAAACATGCTTTATTTCAACATCCAAAATAATTAAAAACATCTTGAAATACTATACATGTACAAAATAAGTACAGATCCTTTGTTGGAACCATTGGAGGGTTTATTTCTTCCGTGCTCTTTTCTTTTTGCCGCCTCGTTTTACGTTTTTGTGAGAAACCTTTCACTGAAAACAAATCAAACAAACAAAAATAAAATAGAAAAAAAAGATGTGCATTGCATTTTGAAAGTAGAAATAAAATCCGGAGACGGGGGGAGCGGCACGTACAGACAAAAATAAGACTTCTCTAGAAACTTCAGGAAGGGGAAATGGGAATCAGTCCATCTACTTAACCCACATCAGATTAAGTGCAAATCTACAGTAACCGACCTATCCAGCTGTTTTATTCTCCTCATCCGCTGACACTTTGATAAGAGCAATTGCATCACATTGACATTCAGCACCAAAAAGGCCCTGCAAGTGTAAGTGACAGTATAAAAATACGTTTGTTTTCTCTCAAATACAAACATACCACAGACAGGACCTGGAGAGGAAGTAGCACCTTTTCATACCTGTTACTAATCGCTGAATAACAAAACTGCCCTCGTTCCCCCCCAAAAATGCACTTTTTTTGTCCTGAGGTAGCCTTTATATCAAGATGACATCATACCATTGAGCTAAATCTGTTCCCTGTGTGATGTTTCACTCTTAGTTAGAAGGAACAAGACACTTGGCTGTCGTTTGTCATATTTATTCAACACCAGAGAATGGTACATTAGCATTTGCTTGTTTTTCATTGTCCCTTTGCAGTGGGCAAAAAAAAGTCACCAGGTGGTAGTTTTTCTGTGGACTCCAGGGGGCGGGGCGTTTTACAGGTATATATTATTTTCTTGTTGTCAGCTGACGCAAAGGAAGTGTCCATGATGGTGATACTGGCTAACGTAGTGGTCCTCGATTTTGTTTTAAGAATGTTTCTCAAGATGGGAATCGCAACAAGCACCGTCTTCAAGGATTCAGGTTTAAGCACATGGACCGATTTGCAGCCGAATTAGAGTTTTTTTTTTTTAATGAACAGGAAAAGATTTGAAGATGACTGCTAGAAAAAAAAACAGCAAAATCATGTCCAGATTTTTTCTTTTTTACAAGAAGCAGACTGGGCCAACTTCTACACCGAATTCCTGATCAGGAGCACCAATGTCCATAGGAGCGATATCAATGATTGGCAGACGAGATGTTTTTGTTGTCTTATAGTCAATGACTGTCTTGCCCCATGTGCCAGTGTGTGACTGTGGAAAACAAACAAATAAAAAATACAAATTAATTATGATAATAATGACGTATTTGTGTCGTTTCGCACTTTCAGTTCCATCGTCCTGAAGTCAAAGGGTTTCTGGTTAAACGCCTGAAAAGCACAATTCTTTTACATTAAAGGAGTAGCTCACTTTTAAAAAAAAAACTTTTGCTGATAATTTACTCGCCCCCATGTCATCCAAGATGTCCATGTATTTCTTTCATCAGTCGAAAAGAAATTAAGTTTTTCGATGAAAACATTCCAGCATTTTTCTCCATATAATGGACTTCAATGGGAACCAAACGGTTCAAGGTCCAAAAGACAGTTTCAGTGCAAACTCTTCAAAGGGCTTTAAACGATTTCAGATGATGAATAAGGGTCTTATCAAGTGAAACCATCGCTCATTTAATATATAAATAACAAAGTTTAAGTTTTATAAGCTCAAATGCTTGCCTTGCTCTGTTCTGTGTGACTCTCCTGTTCGAACTTGTTCATCAAAATGAACAAATCTTTTTCCGAGTCAATTCGTTTATTTCGTTCGTTGAATGAACCAAATGACACGAAAAAAGATTTCGAAGATTTTCGAAGAAGTTCGAACAGGAGAGTCATGAACGCACAGAGCAAGGCGACCATTTGAGCTTATAAAACTTAAACTTTGTTATTCATTTATTAAATGAGCGATCGTTTCGCTTGATAAGACCCTTATTCATTGTCTGGTGTCGTTTAAAGCCCTTTGAACAGTTTGCACTGAAACTGTCTTTTGGACCTTGAACCGTTTGGTTCCCATTGAAATCCATTATATGGAGAAAATCCTGGAATGTTTTCATCAAAAACCTTAATTTCTTTTCGACTGAAGAAAGAAAGACGTGGACATCTTGGATGACATGGGGGTGAGTAAATTATCAGCAAAAGTTGCAAAAGTAACCATCATCAGCCGAACACGTGAACTCATCTGCTCACTAGGTGCTTTTACAGCCTCATTGTGTTTTATAAATCGCACACTCGCAAACTATTCCAACTCAAACTTTGGTGCAGTTCATTTACAGCGTACATTTTACTTCTGATTGTGTTTAGGCATCAAAATTCATAAGTTTATCATGATGAGCAAATTGGGCGATGCAAACTCAAAGGTTGGACTACAAAACACATTGTATAAGAAACATTATGAGGAGGGAAAGAAAAAGCAACGTGAGAGATGGTGGTGTGCTCACCGTGCAGCCATCCTCGCTGACTCTGTATGTAAAGCGGCTGTTGCCCTCGGCTCTGATCTCGATGTCGTTGGAGCCCTGCAGGAGCAGAGCCTTCTTGAGGTTGCCCGTGGCCTCGTCCATGTAGGCGATGCTGTTCTTGCAGTGGTAGGAGATGTTCTGAGAAGCCTCGTTGGACATCAGGCGCATGAAGGTCAGCTGGATGTTAACATCCTCTGGATCAGAGCCATCGCTGCCATACTGGAACTACACAGAGGACACCACATTACTTCCTGCATAAGATCATGAAATATTTCGTGGCCACTAATGAATATGCTTCTGTTTGGTTCTAGAGAGCATCTTGAGCTTGAGTGGAAGGGTTACAAAATTTTAATGTCAAAAATGTGATTATTCAATGCGTTCTCATCGTAGGGCGTCATATAGTGACACTTTTGAAATTTCGTCTAAATCCAACGCACATGGAACCCTTTAGCGCCAATATAACATGCTTCGGTTATGGGTAGGTTTAGGTCTGGGGTAGTGTTAGGGTTAGACCACTAGGAGGCGACTTCTGGCCCAAATATATCTGCACCTCATATTGACGCTAAAGGGTGCCATGTGCGTTGGACGTAGACGAAATGTCTAAAGTGTCAGTATATGACGCCTCGGGATGAGAACGGCCTGTATTATTTGATTCATGTCTTAGAAATAGTCCAGAATCTGAAATATTTCTTTATTTTAAAGTAATAAAATTAAATATTTCTAATTCTGCACTATTTCTAACTAATCACAACTTTATTCAAATTTACAAAACTTTTCATTAAAAGGCCAAAAACTATTTATTTGTTTATTTATGGTTTGCTGGAACAGGTTTCAGACCTTTAATCCGAAATAAAAATAGTAATCTGTTATGTATATATGTGCACATCAACAAGCAAGTAATCACAATTTTCTAAAAATTCACAAAACATTTCTCGAAATAATAAAAAAAAAACATATTTTAAACAGCATATTGTATTTTATAAATGTTATAATAATGAGAAATATTTTTTTTTTTTTGCTTCTGGTCTTTTCACAGTCTACGTATCTCTGTATATCCTAGTATTGACGTACCTGGAAGCCATTGGGCATGGACTCTCCGAACCAAACGTGCTTCTTCTCTCTGATGTTCTTGCTAGTGTACCAGTTCTTCATGGGAATGGTGGTCTGAGATGGGCTGACGCAGGTCTCGCCAGTCTCCATGTTGCAGAAGACCTTGATGGCGTCCAGAGGAGAGCCCTGGTTGGGGTCCACCCAGTAAGATCCTTGCAGGAAAAACAGATTTAAGTGAATTTCAGAGCCTCGAAATGCAAGATCATTTCAATACATCTAGCAAGTCCATGCTTACCGCTCTTCCATTCAGGATGGCACATCCTCAGGTCACGGCACATGCGGGCAGGGTTGGCCTGGGTTCCTTCAGGGCTACGGATGTTCTCAATCTTCTGGCTCAGAGATTTCAGGGTGGTGTCCACCTCAGCATCACGGTCATGAGTGTTGGCATCATCAGCTCTGTAGCCTCCACGAAGTGGATCTGGACCCTTCTCGCCCTGTGGCATGGGAAGGAAGGGCTCACCGATGCCAGCAGGTCCAGGAGGACCAGGAGGTCCAGGAGTACCAGGAGCACCCTAAATAACAGGGAAAATATCACATGAGTACACATATCTGTTAAAACGGACACAACTAAAAATATTCAAAGAGGCAATTTAGCAGTAAAATTGTGTTGATTTCAGACTTACAGAAGGTCCCATTTCACCAGTGCGACCACGGGGTCCAGGGGGTCCAACGGGTCCAGGAATACCGTTCATGCCATCCTTACCAGGGGCTCCATTGGAACCAGAAGGTCCCTATAAACAGATACAAGTGAAATAAAACTGTTCTAGATGAAGTGTTTATGAATACTAGACCACTATTTTAAAGTTGAGATTGGGTATAACGCATAACAGTGACTGTAATGTGTATTTAACAGTGGGAGTTTTCGCATTTGGATAGGGTCATTGGGCTAGCTTTGGGATATTTGTGATTGGCCTTTGGGCTGGTTTTGTTAAAGGGGTGGGAAAATGCCATTTTCACAAGATGTAAAATAAATCTCTGGTGTCCCCAGAGTGTGTGTGTGAAGTTTTAGCACAAAATACCCCACAGGTATTTTTATATACGATGTTAAAGTTGTCACTTCTTGAGGGTTTGCAAAAACGCACGGTTTTGTGTCTGGCCCTTTAAATGCAAATGAGCTGCAGCAGAGGGCGGGGTTTCAAGAGCTTGTGTGTGTTAGCAGCAACGATTTCCTGAATGGTTATTTGATGAATTTATGTTGCTGATGTGGAGTTAACTATCTTCAATTAGGATATTCTGTCATGTAATCTATAAATCGCTCGTATAGGAACTGTTGTGAGATGCACACAGAGTGACTTTCTATTACATGTGAAAAGAAGGATGCTAAAGTTTGAGCTGACTCACAAATGTACTCTTATACAACAACTTTTCCTCAGGGGCGGGTCTATGTAAATTTTATAGGTTGTGATGTCACTAACCCTGGAGGTCCCTACCAGCCGTTTGCTGTAGTCCTTTTCTTTAAAAGCAAATATATTCCTTTGATTTGAACTTTGAGTGTTGTAAATTTGCAGATGTTTTTTATGCTCATACGGCAACATTACACACTAACTAAAGTTAGAAAAGTGAAAACAAGCTCTTAAAAACAGACCTGGCAATCCTGATTCTGCCAAACATCTAATTTAGTCTTCCACATAAGAAGTAAAGTCATGCGAGATTTTAACTACATGAGAGTGAATAAACGATGACAAAATGTTGATTTTTCTCTGTCATGTAGTATAAACCAAAGAAATTTAAGGGTTTTTTCCCTCCTCTACTGTCAATGTCACGTTTGTCTTTAACGTTTATAAATATTTAATGCACTATGGGATGAGAACAAAACTGAAACTAAATTGAACTGGATAATAATGTCTTCTGTAGAGTAAAGTCATGAATTTCCTACATCGAAACAACCTGTTATTACATCGTTATACATATAAATTGTTTCCCTATTATATAAAATGTGTTACTTACACGAGGTCCAGCAGGGCCAGAGGGTCCGGCAGGTCCTTGGTCACCAGGAGATCCCTAAAAACATTCAGAAAAGTCAGTTTTCACTCTAACTTGAGTAATCCTCTTCATATTCAGCGTGTAACTGTGACATTACGCTCACTTACAGGAGGTCCAGGAGTCCCAGCCATTCCAGAGAAGCCGCGGTGTCCCTTCATGCCTCTCTCTCCAGCCTCTCCAGCCTCACCCTTGTCTCCGCGTGGACCAGCTGGACCCTGCATGAAGAGACATGAGAATGATCAATGACCAATTACAAAACAAAAACTACAAGATGAATAAATGATACAAATGAGAAATTCATACCTGGGAACCACGAGCACCAGCGGGACCGGCAGGACCAGCAGATCCAGCAGGACCCTGGAAGAAAGCAGGAGAAAAAGAACAATGTTATAATTCATCATAATATATCAATGTGTCATATACACGTTTTTAGTATAACAGTGCAGAGTTGTTATAGTTATCTAAAACTAAAACCATTTCTTGAAATATAATAAAATATCTGGTAAGACTTGACTTGAAGGGGTGTGCATAAGACTAACTTGACATGACATATGTTATGAATATGAAGGACCTTTTATGCATGTTTGTGACAACTGTCATTAAGTGTCATTTGCTCAGTTATGACATTTTTAATGCAAATTGTTTGTCTGTTATGACACCTTGACATAAACCAACACATCATCCTGTCAGTGTCTTTGTCATGACAACTTGACATTATTAAGACAACACGACCTGTCATAAACATGATTAATGATCAAACTTAAGAAAGCACCTAGCTTTATTGGTTAACATTACATGAAACTGTCAGCTGGTTGGTTTTGACAATTATAACTGTGCCATAAATATTTTTCTTGACCTCAACTACAGTGGTACAAAATCAATCACCTGACAGTTTAATGTAATGTTAACCAATAAAGCTAGGTGATTTCTTAAGTTTTATCATTAATCATGTTTATGACGGATTGTGTTGTCTTAGTAATGTCAAGTTGTCTTGACAAAGACACTGACAGGTTATGATGTATTGGTTTATGTCAAGATGTCATAACTAAGACATCTCAAACAATGTCATATTTGCATTCAAGATGTCATAACTGAGCAAATGACACTTAATGACAGTTGTCATTGTGACCCTACTTCATATTCAAGACATAGGTCATGTGATGGTTATGAAGGTGTCATGTCAGTCTTATGCACACCCCTTCAAGTAAAGTGTTACCAAATATCTCAAGTTAAAATACTAAAATAACTCAAATTAACCAAAAGTAATACAACTTTTAAAATGAAAACGGAAAATATAAAAATAAAATCATTCAAACCTGCCATTTTGGTGTGGATGCATTACGTGTATATTTTAATTCTTTTTAAATAAAATAATTCTGGTAAATTTTTTATTCTAGAATATAAAAACGTACAGCCTCTCCACGATCTCCATTCTTTCCGGATGGACCCATGGGACCAGGAGCTCCAGGAGCACCAGGGGGACCAGGAGGACCAGAGTTGCCAGACTCACCGCGGTCTCCCTACGGCAAACACAAAAGAGTTTTTTAAACTAGAAGCAACAATTACATATTATGTAACTTATGTACAACTTATTTGCATTCATTAGTTTAGAAGCGTGACAGTAGGGTGATAATGACTGGATATTACCCTATAACCATTAACCGGTTTTATGTATATTTATGTGTATATATATATATTATATATATATATATATATATATATATATATATATATTAATTTATTAGGTGTCTAATACTATGCAGGTCTAATACTATAGGTTAAGATGCATTAATTACATTCAGGCATTTTTAAACATAAGTATATCATAACTACATGTATGTACACAGTAAGTGCATTGTATCGAATGATTAATTTAAATTTTAGTACACAGTAGTTAAAAACACTTAATATGAAGTGGGTCGCTTTTCTTCACTAGATAATATAAAGTGAGATAAATAATTTTTTTAAAAGTACAAAATACAAATCTTCCAGTTAATAGCCTCTGAATTCAAAATACTGTAAGGTCATAAAATCTAAAATCTAGGTCATAA